GTGTCTCTGTGTTCATTTCACGGTTTACCTCTGAAGTCATGCCTCTCTACGGTTGCTCAACACGACGTGGGGATCAGTGGTTTGAAGATCAGACATTCAGCATGAGTTCCACTTCTACACAGCGTGATGCAGCACACCGCAAAGAAACTCACTGCTGGTGGCATTCAAACCTCAAAACTGAGCGCCATGACCTAATAAAGTGTAGGGTTAAACTGAGTTAGTATGAACAGGTTGGTCTTTAAGTTATCAGAGCTGAGCTAACGTTAGCATGAGCCGGAACAGTGTGCAGGAATTTCTACAATTTGTATCCTCATTTTAATCACCAGGTTCGTTTGTTTTGGAAAGTAGGTGACCTCTGTGCATCCTTTGGTACAACAGTGATGATTCAATGATGTTAAACAGACATGTGCATGTAGCATGTTAGCTAGTTCTCTACTATTTCTCTGACTAATTAGAGGCAACCCTCCCGTATATATTCCCTGAACGTCTGATTATGTGACTTCAACTCCTGCACAGCACGCTTTTGCATAATCGTTCAAACTTAGAGCCAGACAACCTAATTATTCCAGTTTGCAGTGGCGTCTGCAGGAGGTCCAGAGGTGAAGACACGCAGATCTATAGAGATAGAGATATAGAAACAAACATGGCGGTGCTGCTGTCTGTGGTGAAGAAGATAAATACTGAGGCATCACGGTGATTTATGAACATCAGGGTTTCAATGAATTCAGTGACTTTCATGCATGGAGAGATGCGGCACTCGAGCTGATCCATATTCAACAAGGACGTGTGTGTGTGTGTGTGTGTGTGTGTGTGTGTGTGTGTGTGTGTGTGTGTGTGTGTGTGTGTCATTAAAGGGCAGTACATCCGATAACCTACAGACAGGAGCTCCACAGTCGCTGTTGGAAGCTGATAAAGAAGTGGACCAATGACAAAGCTGCATTTGTGTAAAATGAAATATACGGTGTGTTTTATATCGATTGTTTACTGCAAAAAGCACCTTCTTTTTGATTCACATTTAACAAACTATAATTGTACGCCTCGTTAGAAAGGTACACGTCAGTATTCTCTCTCTATTTGAAAACACCTCTTTCTATTAATTGAAGTTTCTCCCCAAAAACAACATTTGACATGACTACACTATTGAACACTTCACAATAAGGCTTTCATTTACCTTCAACAAATGTTAGTTTTTTTTTACTGAAAAGAGCTTTAATGCACAATCGCAACTCTAATATACCACCTAACAGCAGCAGCCAATAGAAAACAACCTCCAGATAGCAGCTTACAGCTAAAAGCTAACGTTAACTAAATCATTTACCGATTTCAACACCGATTTTATAACTCGTTATGAGGAGAACATGTCATTTAATCTACATTTAAGTGGAAAAAACGTGTGCGTCAGCAGTGAGTTTAGCCTACTAACACATCTTCTATCAGTTTTCCAAATATTGGCATCAACATGGTACCCAAAGTATAGTTTCTGGTGACATCCATCGACTGCTGCAAACAACTATAGCATGTATTATCAATTAGTCTGCAGATCTGTAGTCAAATGGCAAATATTAAAACTGTCATAAAAAAGTGATAAATATCTTTCACAGTTGCCTAAAACCCAAGTTTAAATCTCCACATTGTTTTGATTGCTACTAACACTCTTTAAATAAAAAACACACATTTTATAATGAATAAAAAAAAAAGGAAAGGCAGCAAATCCTCACAACTGAGAAACTGGAAGGAGACGATGTTTAGGATCCAACGCACTAATCAATGATCTCATGTATGTGTTTTAACATATCAGCACACCAGCTCAGATCTACAGCAGGGCTTCTCAAACTCCGGACCGAACTGAAAATCAATCCGGACCGAACCCTGGGTGTTTCTCAATGTCGAGTACGCTTGCTTGGTGACGGTACAAGTGACACCGTGACACGCATTGCAGACCGCAAGTTTACCTTGACTTTCTAATGCCATTTTTTGGGCTACAGACAAACAGTGCCATTTCTCCCACTAGTTCAAGCCACCATACTGTATGTATGTATGTATTGAATGTGTGTGTGCATACAGGGGCGCCGTTTGCAGACAGGCAAGTGCTCGGACCAGAAGGGGGCCCTCAAAGAAGGTAGATTAAGAAGGTCCACAGCAACGACAACATGAAACACCCTTTAATTTACTGCAACGACATGTCGGGAAACCCCCTCAAGGGGGCCCCATGCATAGCGCGCCGTAAGAAACTGCTTCTTCATTTCAGTTTCGTTGCTCCGCTCCGGTGGGGGGCATTGATCCGGACCAGTGACCTTGTATAAAATTCAAGGTCCGACATTCACAAGTGGACCTTTAATAAAAAGGTTTGAGTACCCCTGATCTACAGTAACACGGAGGAAGTAGAACATCTGAATGGTTGAACTTCTGCACATTCTGACCCACAGGAAGTGATCGTTCTGACATCTCCAGTCTCAGATGTTCTGATTCTTGCTGAGACGAGACAATGGATCTAAAGATTCCTACAGAACGTCCCTGGGGAAGAGGGGAACAAAACACACACACACACACACACACACACACACACACACACACACACACACACACACACACACACACACACACACACACACACACACACACACACACACACACACACACACACACACACACACACACACACACACACACACACACACACACACACACACACACACACACACACACACACACACACACACACACACACACACACACACACACACACACACACACACACACACACACACACACACACACACACACACACACACACACACACACACACACACACACACACACACACACACACACACACACACACACACACACACACACACACACACACACACACACACTCTGTATGTGATATGCAGTACTTCCCCTGTTATTGTCTTCTTTCCAGGAGCCTCGTATCGTTTCACTCTGAGTCCAGTTTCTATCTTTGTCCTCAGCTTTGTGCAGGTGTTAGTCATCGTTGGTACACACACTTTAATCTGTCTTCACTCCCACAATGCACCCTGCTGAATCACTGGCTCAGGATCTGTGTCTACGTGTCGTACACAACGTGTGTGTGTGTGTGTGTGTGTGTTGCTATTGTTTCTACATTGTGTATCAGAGGCAGGAGAAACAAAGTGAACCAGGGCTTTGCTTTCAGAGCGTCTCCTCCGTCTCACTCTCTGCTTTCACAAACAAGCAAACACACACACACACACACACACACACACACACACACACCTGTCACACCTGACACACTGATGTAGCAAATGCATGTTTTCACACAGATGCAAACGTCTACAGAAAACCCAAATGTCAGAGTGAGGAGAAACGCAGTAAAATGCATCACATGCTAATTCTACAGGGGAAATCAGAAGATGTTACATCTGGATTTCTAACTGTGCAAACTATACAATAGGGTAGCTGTCAGAACACTGATATCTAGATTAGTTTGAAGCCTTTTTGTACTTTGATATATATATATATATATATATATATATATATTGTAAATCCATATTTGTATGCTGCACTACTATTGTGTTTGCATGTCTGTTTGTATTTGGAGAAGAAGACACTTTATTAATCCAATAAGGATCACTCATTGGCCAAATTCCAAACCGTCCTCCCACTCTGTTTGCACATTAAGTACCGTAATGGCGCATTTCCACTACACGGTCGGCCTCGGCCACACTCGGTACGGCTCGGTACGGCTTGGCCGCGTTGGGCCTTAACAGGGCCGACTCACTTCATGCTGCGCTTCCATTACAGTTTAGGAACTGGGGTAGTTACTATAGTAACGCAGTGTAGGCGGAGCCGTGACGTCATCTTCAATGAGAAATCCAGAAACACAACACAGCCGTTAGCTGTTAGCACTCAGAGCTCACAGCTCCTTATATATGTTCAGAAACTCGACAAAAGTTAAACAAGTACACACCACAGACTGCCTGTGTCATGGTGAATACAGTCGCTGCCTTATTTATGTCTGTATAGGCCGTTGTTGTGAGTGTGGACGGTCGGAGCATATACTGCGTTAGCTTAGCCAATCTCCATCTAGAAAAACACGCATTTTAAAAGGTTTTTCCCCTGCCGTCTGTCTGCAGACTTGACAAAGCATTAATTCATGGTTTTTACTAACCGGTATCAGTATGTTGTTACTTCGGCATCATTTTGAAACGTGTATTACAATTAAATCACGGTCAAATATGTCCATCTTGTTGTAGTTCTAGCCCTCTTGCCAGCGCTCCTCTCTCTAGTTTAGCATACTCAGCCCGACTCAGCCCTGTTTGTTGGCCCCGATAGAACCACAATTTTCTAGGGCCAGAAAAGAGGGGAAAAAGTGGCCCCGCGCCGTGCCGCGCCGGAACGAGGCCTAGTGGAAGCACAACCAAAAAAGTGGACGGCACGACACGGCACGCTTAAAGCGAGCTACGCGCTGCAATGGAAATGCGCCATTAGTAAACTGTGCAAAATAAGACATTTACAATTGTTAACTTGAAGATTACAGTGTATTTTTATATTTCATACCCTCGTGTCTAGTCCAGAACACAGTACACCTGTTCATCTGATTGTTACGTTTTGAATATTTACAGGGACTGCTGCAAAAACCAAGCACCTCACGCTTTTAGGGAGTTTTAAAATAATTAATATTTATAATTGTGGGTCCAAAGAGGCTGATTTAAACACGACAGTTCCTGTGTCTGCCGGAGAGAGGGGAGTTTTTCCCAAAGCTTGCAGAATACACACCTCTGCATGAGGTAAACACTGCACGTCTACCTCTTTGTTTGTTGTTGTTGTTGTTGTCCGATCTGGGACCTTGTACCGGTGACCCTTCAATTCCCAAACCAAGCCCCTACAGACTGACCTCCAAAAGACACATTTATTCAGTGCACAGATGCAGATAAGGACTTGTTCTCCTCAGCAGCAACCTTCCCTCTGCAGCTGCAACACTGGGAGGGTGCATTCAAGTGTCAAATATATATAAGTACCTTGACGTCTCTGTGGATGACGTTGTTGTCGTGGCAGTAACGCAGCGCCTCGAGGATCTGCCTCATGTAGTGACTAAAGGAGGGACGCAATACAGTTATTATTATTATATCACGGTGGTAACATTTAGAGGGATATTGTGAAGTGAAACAGACAGGAGTCCCAGCAAAACATCTATTAGCCACAACATAATATCAATGTAAGTGCATGCTATAGTCAGTATATTGTCACCTCTTGCAGTGAGAACATTATACACTATATGTTTTTGACAGCTGTTTTTAAGCTCTCTTGAAAGACACCAAACTCCATTAATAAAAACAGTCATTTTAACTTATAGGACAGAGGAGTTGTTGGTTTAGCGCTGCCTCTATTGGTTGGTTAGTTAGTTAGTGTTATTGTGCGTGTTCAGTGAATGCTAAATTGCATTTTAAACCTCACAATAACACAAACAAGCCGACCTATTGAAGCAGCGTTACTCCAGCACCTCCTGTGTTCTGCTAAGTGACTGTTTTTGTGAATAGAGTCTGGTGGATTTGACATTTAGCCGTGTGAAAAGGGCTGTCTGACGCAGGGCAAGGCAGTACATATATTCGTAGTAAAGTACACTTAAACTGAAATGGTAGTTTTTGAAAGGAGCTTTAAAAATATTGTTGCTGCCCCTCTAGCTTTGGAGCAGAACCTCCTGAATACTTCTCCAAACTGGGGATGTGCAGACAGCCATCTACACCGACTGTGAACAAATACCTCGTACATCCCCACTTAAAAACTATCTAAAATGATCCCTTAAAGGGGACCTATCATGCAAAATGCACTTTTGTACGTCTTTTATACATGAATATGTGTCCCCGGTGTTCCAGGGAACTCACCAAGTGTCAGAAAACACAACCCTCTCTATTTTCCTCCATACCCAAATCTCTAAAAAAGGGGCTGCAACGGATCTGATAAAAACTGATCCAGATCCAATTTGGGAAATTGTTTTTGTTTCAGCAGCATAAAAGACAATGTAAGGTTCTCTTAGGCTACAGGCATTACACTATTGACTGCTTTGGTGCAAGGTAAGGTGTCTCTTATAATGCTGTACAGAAATATAATATTTAACTTCAACCATCTCTGTGTCTGTGTTTTATTGATTGTTGTGAGTCACATGGGATCCACGACAGTTTCAACTTTTTTGTATTAAAGGTCCCCTGTTTCTCATCAATATATCACAGGTCTCAGATATATCCAGAGCCTGTCTCTGATTGGCTGAAACACCAAACAGATCATTGCAGCATTACCCATAATCCCCTCTGTTTCAGCCCTGTTTCCAAAGTGCTGATTCTCTGTCTGTTACTTTAGATGAAAATAAGGAGCCCCTCCCCACGCCCCTCTGAGAGAGATTTGGTTACAAAGAACTCAATGGTGCTCTAGGAGGAGATTCAGGTGATAAGGTGGGGGGGGGGGGGTTACCTTGGTTGCTGATTGGCTAATGGTTACACAAGACAAAACATCGTTATGACATCATCAAGTGGCCAAAATCTGATCAGCTCATTTTCAGACAGGTTTTTATAAAAATGGATCAAAAAGAGAGAGAATCTTTGTTCCTGAAACTTTCAGAGTCTCTTTAGACAGAGGGGACACATGTTGATGAAGAAGAGACATGAAGAAGAGGGGACACATGTTGATGTAGAAGAGACATGAAGAAGAGGGGACACATGTTGATGAAGAAGAGACATGAAGAAGAGGGGACACATGTTGATGAAGAAGAGACATGAAGAAGAGGGGACACATGTTGATGAAGAAGAGACATGAAGAAGAGGGGACACATGTTGATGAAGAAGAGACATGAAGAAGAGGGACACATGTTGATGAAGAAGAGACATGAAGAAGAGGGGACACATGTTGATGAAGAAGAGACATGAAGAAGAGGGGGACACATGTTGATGAAGAAGAGACATGAAGAAGAGGGGACACATGTTGATGAAGAAGAGACATGAAGAAGAGGGGACACATGTTGATGAGAGGAGACATGAAGAAGAGGGGACACATGTTGATGAGAGAGACATGAAGAAGAGGGGACACATGTTGATGTAGAAGAGACATGAAGAAGAGGGGACACATGTTGATGAAGAAGAGACATGAAGAAGAGGGGACACATGTTGATGAAGAAGAGACATGAAGAAGAGGGGACACATGTTGATGAAGAAGAGACATGAAGAAGAGGGGACACATGTTGATGAAGAAGAGACATGAAGAAGAGGGGACACATGTTGATGAAGAAGAGACATGAAGAAGAGGGGACACATGTTGATGAAGAAGAGACATGAAGAAGAGGGGACACATGTTGATGAAGAAGAGACATGAAGAAGATGGGACACATGTTGATGAAGAAGAGACATGAAGAAGAGGGGACACATGTTGATGAAGAAGAGACATGAAGAAGAGGGGACACATGTTGATGTAGAAGAGACATGAAGAAGAGGGGACACATGTTGATGTAGAAGAGACATGAAGAAGAGGGGACACATGTTGATGAAGAAGAGACATGAAGAAGAGGGGACACATGTTGATGAAGAAGAGACATGAAGAAGAGGGGACACATGTTGATGTAGAAGAGACATGAAGAAGAGGGGACACATGTTGATGTAGAAGAGACATGAAGAAGAGGGGACACATGTTGATGTAAAAGAGACATGAAGAAGAGGGGACATGTTGATGTAGAAGAGACATGAAGAAGAGGGGACACATGTTGATGTAAAAGAGACATGAAGAAGAGGGGACACATGTTGATGTAAAAGAGACATGAAGAAGAGGGGACATGTTGATGTAGAAGAGACATGAAGAAGAGGGGACATGTTGATGTAAAAGAGACATGAAGAAGAGGGGACATGTTGATGTAGAAGAGACATGAAGAAGAGGGGACACATGTTGATGAAGAAGAGACTGAAGAAGAGGGGACACATGTTGATGTAGAAGAGACATGAAGAAGAGGGGACACAGTTGATTGTAGAAGAGACATGGAAGAAGAGGGGACACATGTTGATGTAGAAGAGACATGAAGAAGAGGGGACACATGTTGATGTAGAAGAGACATGAAGAAGAGGGGGACACATGTTGATGTAGAAGAGACATGAAGAAGAGGGGACACATGTTGATGTAAGAAGACGAAAAATAAGAAGAGGGACACATGTTGATGAGAAAAGACATGAAGAAGAGGGGACACATGTTGATGAAGAAGAGACATGAAGAAGAGGGGACACAATGTTGATGAAGAAGAGACATGAAGAAGAGGGGACACATGTTGATGAAGAGAGACTGAAGAAGATGGGACACATGTTGATGAAGAAGAGACATGAAGAAGATGGGACACATGGTGATGAAGAAGAGACATGAAGAAGAGGGACACATGTTGATGTAAGAAAGAGACATGAAGAAGAGGGACACATGTTGATGTAGAAGAGACATGAAGAAGAGGGGACACATGTTGATGAAGAAGAGACTGAAGAAGAGGGGACACATGTTGATGAAGAAGAGACATGAAGAAGAGGGGACACATGTTGATGAAGAAGAGACATGAAGAAGAGGGGACACATGTTGATGAAGAAGAGACATGAAGAAGAGGGGACACATGTTGATGAAGAAGAGACATGAAGAAGAGGGGACACATGTTGATGTAAGAAGAGACATGAAGAAGAGGGGACACATGTTGATGTAGAAGAGACATGAAGAAGAGGGGGACACATGTTGATGAAGAGACACATGAGAAGAGGGGACACATGTTGAATGAGAAGAGACATGAAGAAGAGGGGACACATGTTTGATGAAGAAGAGACATGAAGAAGAGGGGACACATGTTGATGAAGAAGAGACATGAAGAAGAGGGGACACATGTTGATGAGAAGAGAGCATGAAGAAGAGGGGACACATGTTGATGAAGAGAGACATGAAGAAAGAGGGGACCCAGTGTTGATGAAGAAGAGACAGGAAGGAAGAGGGGACACATGGTGATGTAAGGAAGACAGGAAGAAGAGGGGACACATGTTGATGAAGAAGAGACATGAAGAAGAGGGGACACATGTTGATGTAGAAAGAGACATGAAGAAGAGGGGACACATGTTGATGAAGAAGAGACATGAAGAAGAGGGGACACATGTTTGAATGAAGAAGAGACATGAAGAAGAGGGGACACATGTTGATTGTAGAAGAGACATGAAGAAGAGGGGACAACATGTTGATGAAGAAGAGACATGAAGAAGAGGGGACACATGTTGATGTAGAAGAGACATGAAGAAGAGGGGACACATGTTGATGTAGAAGAGACATGAAGAAGAGGGGACACATGTTGATGAAGAAGAGGGGACACATGTTGATGTAGAAGAGACGTGAAGAAGAGGGGACACATGTTGATGTAGAAGAGACATGAAGAAGAGGGGACACATGTTGATGTAGAAGAGACATGAAGAAGAGGGGACACATGTTGATGTAGAAGAGACGTGAAGAAGTGGATTTTGCACAATAGGTGACCTTTCAAATAAGCCCTTATTCCGATGTAAAAACATTTACAAACCGATCTAATTTGACCCGATGAAATCAGCATCTTAAAGGACAGTAAATCTGAGGTGTGAGAGCTCACCTGGCCACGGCTTCACTGTAGACGAAGCCAGCGTCTGCTCTCTTCACGATCTCAAAACACAGATCTGCTCCGTCCATACTGAAGAGAGAGAGGATCAGAGTGAGGAAAGGTCAGGAGGAAAGGTCAGGAGGCAAGGTCAGGAGGCAAGGTCAGGAGGCAAGGTCAGGAGGACAGGTCAGGAGGACAGGTCAGGAGGAAAGGTCAGGAGGAAAGGTCAGGAGGAAAGGTCAGGAGGACAGGTCAGGAGGAAAGGTCAGGAGGAAAGGTCAGGAGGAAAGGTCAGGAGGCAAGGTCAGGAGGCAAGGTCAGGAGGACAGGTCAGGAGGACAGGTCAGGAGGACAGGTCAGGAGGAAAGGTCAGGAGGAAAGGTCACTCTTATTAAAACGACTGGTGGTGAAGGTGAGATGTGAGAAACTGTAGTTAAGTTTAGTCTGAGATATTTGTCCCTTGAGAGGATTTTTCATGGACATTTTTAGTCTGATAAACATCTCTTTATCCGTCTTCCTGAGATGTTAGAGCTGCTGCTTCAAACCGAGTCAATCAGGCTTTTAATTACGAATAGTTTATTTACATTTCAGTCTTTTTTACTTAATTTATGGGTGGTGAAGGTGAGATGTGAGAAACTGTAATTAAGTTTAGTCTGTGGGTTGATTCAGAAAATATCAATCAGAATCAGAAACAGTTTTATTACCAGGTACACAGATAGAAAACTATTTTAAGAAAACTACATTAATTAACTACATAATAACATTACAACATATTAAAATATAGCATTTATATTGAATATGGTTGAAATCGTAGATCACGGACACTTAGGGTTGTTATTCATTAAAACTTCTTAAATGTAATCTACTAAAACAAGTTATAGGTGTTAATGACTTTTGCACCCACTTGTAAACAAACTTGAGAAGTCAGTGTTGACTTTCTATGAAGATAATCTCTTGGAAAAGTTGGTTTTAATGTTTCTTTAGTAAAACACACACAGATGGAGAGGCTCATAATGAAGTGCAGGTGACGTCCTGTAGTTCCTCCACTAGAGGGCGCTCTTCTTGTTGCCCTACTTTAAAATACAGCTGTTACTCTTTAGTGATGTCTTTATCTACACCACACACACACACACACACACACACACACACACACACACACACACACACACACACACACACACACACACACACACACACACACACACACACACACACACACACACACACACACACACACACACACCACACACACACACACACACACACACACACACACACACACACACACACACACACACACACACACACACACACACACACACACACACACACACACACACACACACACACACACACACACACACACACACACACACACACACACACACACACACACACACACACACACACACAAATAATTTAATTGTCCGCATTAATCCACTATTTGTTTCCTCAGTTATCTATTTTGCTCTCAAAGCTCTAAAATCCACCTGCACTACCTCGTGTGTGTGCATCAGTGTGTGTGTGTGTGTGTGTGTGTGTGTGTGTGTGTGTGTGTGTGTGTGTGTGTGTGTGTGTGCATCAGTGTGTGTACAAAACACACACTGTACAGCAGAGCTCCAGGACTGTGACGACGATCCCTTTTAAAGGAGCTCTCTTGTGTTTCCTGGAGAGTTCTCCTCCCTCTCTCTGAGACGCCAGATGAAACCGTTTCGGCGATAAGAGAATTCACCGACGCAGGAATTAGTTCTGCATGAGGAGCAGAGATGAAGATACGAAGAGGAGGAAGAGGAGAAACACTGGAGGTAGAAGTGAGGAATCTTAATCTCATCTTCCTCCTTCATGAGCTGCACTCACTCGTTTTCTTACCCCTTCCTCATCCTCACCCTCAGCTATCAAGCTTTCTCATTTCTTATGCTGCACCTCACTGTCTACCTCCTCTTCATCATCACCCCTCTTCATCATCCCTCCCCTTTACACACCCTCTTCTTCAGTAGGTGCTAACCGGTGTTTAGTACAGCAGGACTTGAACTGGAAACATCTGTTAAAAGACTGGATATATTTCAATTTGCTGGACTTTTAACAGATGTTTCGGGGAAAAGAATTCCCCAAAAGCACAACTTGCTCTATAGCTAACACAGAACATTTTAGGATTTCTCCCATTTGTTCGGGACATGTTGACCGGCACGATAAACGGAAACGATGGCGTACATGTACTTTTACAATTATTTGTTTATTCCGTCTTACTTTATCTGAGAATATGTACGCCAAAAGCTGAGTGTGGAGGAAACTTCTGTGTAGCAATGAGGAAACTCTTTGTGTTGGAGGTTTTAATGTGACTTGTATGTGATTTGCCCGATGGAGACTTACTATTCGAACACCATGTAGAGCATCCCATCGGAGCTGTAGGTCTCCAGCAGCTCCACGATGTGAGGATGCTTCAGCATGTGGCAGATACTGGCCTCCCTCTTCAGATCTGAAACAGAGAGAGAGACATGAGGATACGTGGCATAAAGAGTACACACATCCTTTACTCAAGTAGAAGTACACACATCCTTTACTCAAGTAGAAGTACACACATCCTTTACTCAAGTAGAAGTACAGATACTCGTGTTTAAAAATACTCTGGTGAAAGTAGAAGTACTGACTAAACTTCTTTACTCAAGTAAAAGTAAAGAAGTATGGGCTTTGAAATGTACTTAAAGGGGACCTATCATGCAAAATGCACTTGTGTACGTCTTTTCTACATGAATATGTGTCCCCGGTGTTCCAGGGAACTCACCAAGTGTCAGAAAACACAACCCTCTCTATTTTCCTCCATACCCAAATCTCTAAAAAAGGGGCTGCAACGGATCTGATCAAAACTGATCCAGATTTGAACACTGTCCTGACGTCAGGACGG